TGAAGAATAATTGTAAGAATAATTGTAATAATTGTATAATTGTAATAAGTTTCGTTAAAATCCGTCGAGAAGTTTTTGCTTCTATAACGAACATACAGACAGACAGACAAAAATTTTACTGATTGCATTTTTAGCATCAGTATCGATCACTAATCAGCCCCTGATAGTTATTTTGGCTATCACTGCAATTTTTTTAGCCGCTGCCGCACATGATTCCCCGCAAATCCAGAGCCATCGCATGCCATATGTGCTGGCGGCCTTTTAAAAAGGAATATGCTCTTTTCTTGAAGGTTATGATGTCGTATCGGTTCGGAAATACTGCTGCTGGAAGTTGATTCCGAAGAGTGGTTGTGTAGTAAAGTAATTCGGTAGTAAAGTTGTGCGTAGGTCAATGCGTCTAATACAGATAAACGCATCAGTTTTATTCGTTAAGTTCAACTTTTTTATAGGTAGCTAACACTTTTATTTCTCTTCGTCAATTCAATCGCACTGGAAAAAAGACTAGTATAAAAATAACCTTCTGAAATGCCCTAAATGGCGAAACCGGTCAGGTATTTATTATAAAACCTTTTTTGTGGAAGAGTTACTAGTCTTTTTTTTTTATCTCTAAGTCAATATGAATTAAATCTTTTTTTTTTAATTATTATTATTTACGTCAATCTCATGGAGATATTTAGCGTAAACACCTAGTGAGCGATTTGTGATCAGTGTTCATTTGACATCAGGTTTATAAGCTACGGTTGCCACTTTCCATCAGGTGGGCATGCGTCTTGTTTGTACCGGTATTATAAAAACAAGAAAACAATATTTATCGCCCACTATAAATACAAACAGTTCTTTAACCGGTATAGAAGTGAATTTCTGCTAAATAACTGTTTCCTGCGGTTCAATTAAAATAGTCATATCCCGACACAAGTATGTACAGTTCAATTCAACAATTGGCACGCTGGCGTGACGCCTACACCGTTATCTGATGTTATCCCTCGAACAAATAAACCCGAGCACCTCGTTATAACATTAGCAGTAATTTCTTTAAAAAAAAAACTGTATTAATGTATAAAAAAAAAATATAATACCTAAGGCATTTTTCTCAACTATTCGGGGACGCGTTTGTCTACCAAATAGGCGAAGGGCCAAATTAAAAGTACCCGGCGAGCGTGTATGAAAAGATGGATGAATGTGGAAGCAATAGACTAAGGTATGATCTGTTGCAATAGAACTTAATAAAAGTTTTATTAAAATTATCATAGAAACACTTTCTTAATGAAATTAGTAATATATCGATATAATTGATCAATTAAACACTTCATTTTGTTGTAAAATTGCGACAGCAGTCGTATAGGAGTAAAAATAATTAAAACAAAAAACAATAGTAATAATAATAATAAATTACTACTAAAGTAAAGAAATACGTATTGGATAAAAATCAAGAAATTATTACAACAGTCTCAGCATAGAATGTGTGTGTGTGTGTGTGTGTGTTTATGTGCGCGTGCATGTGTGCGTGCGTAAGTGTGTGTGTGCATCTCAGTTAATCGATTATTTATTTGTACTATTAGACATCAGCACACTACTCCTCTGGTCACGTCAATTATTCGGTTTTTAATTTGTACCATCTATATCGACAACGTCCTGTTATAGTCCACTACTGGGCATGCGTTTCCTTATAAAAGGAAGATATTAGCCAATTCATATGTTTGCCTTCTCTTACAGTGATAGGTATTTATGTATCTACCACAACAAATAACAAAGCATAATTGCACTGTTCCCTTCATCGGCTCATTTTGTATCTTTAAGAGGAAAACAAAGCGACGACTTACTCTGTCATTATTCGAAGTATCTGTCTATCTATCATCTGTCATTGAAATATAAACATTTAGATATCTGAAAGCACAATCACAATAACAGGACGTGAACCTATTTCGTAAAGTTCATTTGTACCGATCGATTTGTAATAGAGATATTGGGTGTAATTATATTTGTTTCGGGTCTAAATTAGGTCACTTATATGACGTTACAGGAAATACAATATGGCTGACACTGGAGGCCGTGTTATATTAGTTTCAATAGTATTAATCATAAATTCAACACACGCAGCTAGTTCCAAAAATATTACATGTAATGTGAGTTCTTGCGCACTTACTAATTGTATGTTAATTATAGGTTTGCCAACCGTCAAATGTATTAGATATATTGAAGCTATCGATATTGGTTGATTTGAAAAATGAAATGTGTTCATAACTATTTAACTATAAGTATAATAATAATATATAAGTGTAAGTTTTACCAGAGGGAGACTTTGTACAAAAGTCGATTGCTTGGGTACCTCTGTCCCATTCGTGTTTCAACCGTAAAACAGTTGTGTTTGCATGGTTGCGTGTTTCGGTTTGAAGGGTGGGATATGGCGTGAATTTACTGGGTACAGAGGAATAACACCCGAGTCCTCAGGAATGACAACGCATGGGGGGTATCATGGGCGAAACAGTATACTCTTTTATGTCCATGGTACTGCTCATGTCTATAAGCGACGATTACCGCTTTCCATCAGGTGGGCCGTCAGCTTGTTTGCCATTCTAAGTTGTATAAAAAAACACATTGGATATAGTATTGTCTCAACGACTTAAAAATTAATTTATATTTTCAATTTTATATTTTCAATTTTTTTAAATGCTTAACTATAGGATTTACTCATATATAGTAACAAAGTTTAGAAATATTAACATAAATTAAACGGTTACGGTTACCACTTACCATCAGGTGGGCCATCAGCTTGTTTGCCGTTCTAAGTTGTATAAAAACAAAAGACACCTTGGAGCAGCAAAATAACTAGATCAGACTCTGGACGGATCATATCTATGTTTTTGTATTTGAAACTGTATATCGCATGGTTTTCACTAGTTAATGGGAGAAGAGATTCAGTAACCGCGGAATTGTATATTAAATATATATTTTATTTAGCCACTAGCGACCCGCCCCGGCTTCACACGGGTGCAGAGCTGATACTAATAGCGCCACCGGCTGGAACATTAGAAACTTTTAAAATTATCAATGTTTCTCTACTATATTAAGCATGTATTATACATATAAACCTTCCTCTTGAATCACTCTGTCTATTAAAAAGAAATACATCAAAATCCGTTGAATAGCTTTAAAGATCTAAGCATATATAGAGACAGACAGACGGGAAGCGACTTGGTTTTATACTACGTAGTGATGATGCGCCTTGGAAAATCCTTCATTTTTAATGACAAAGTAGCTATGTTTCGAATTTCTATACACTTGTATAAAAGAAATAAAGGCAACATGAGTAACGCCATAAGGAAGTTACCCACAATACGACTGATTCTACAGCTGACAATCGCGTTAACAGCATTTGTTAAGTGCACGTCAATCTGTACTTATTATCATTGGAACAAAGACTATTATGGTGCGACCGCACCATATGATGAGGGTGTTGACCATGTGTAGTAATTGAAATAATCGACGCAAAAGCAATTAAGGCAATTATGTTACTATTATATGTCAAGGGATTATTAATTGTGGAATAAAACTTCAAAAGAATTACATGTAACATTAACTTGAAATACATGAAAGCTTAATAAAGCCTGTACTTTCTCTGGTGTATGGCTCTTCAAAAGGAATTTCTTACAACAGTCACGCAAAGTCAATTGCTTGGTAACGAATCACAAGTGTGTTAATGGTGCCTATGACAAATATCTTTGTATTAAATTTACTAACTCTAGTAGCTATAAAATATAGGAGGAGAAAAGGATTGTTAGTAATGGAGACTGAGAATCCCATTGCTAGCAATATACCCAACCCGGTCGACCTCCTCGTGGTTCCCCCTGGAAACTATCATGGTTAATTCCTGATGAATTCATCATGATGAGCGAACATTCTCATCTATCACCCTTCACTGGTGCTCTGCCAGCGTTTCCCGTTAGCGCAGGCGGAGTTACCATACTATTTTCACTCATAAAAAAAAACTAAAATATATATATATATATATATATATATATATATGTCTGAAGATGTTTCGTTTAGAGGTGTTACTCGTATCACAAAACGTGCGTAGACAAAATTTCGGTCGGAAATTGATGGCTAATATGGAATGTTGTAGAACTTCTGCTATTAATAATGGTAATCAATGTTCGTGCCTTGGTAGTCGCACACATACTAATGGTAACGGAATTACACAAAATCATTGTATTCCAATAATCAATGATATGAAATTTCGCAAAATAATACTTAGTTTAGTAAAACTTTTACAAATTCCAGAGTAATTTTCATTGGAAAATATACCATTTTCTCTTCCAGTTAGGAAGGCATCATAGAATGTTACAGTACTCTACAAGGGGGAGACTGTGCAAAAGTCATTTGCTAGGGTACCTTAGCCTTAGTCCTTAGGAATGGCAACGCATGGGGAGTATCATGGGCGAAACAGTATACTCTGTTATGTCCATTGTACTGCTCATGTCTATGGCTACGGTTACCACTTTCCATCAGGTGGGCCGTCAGCTTGATTGCCTTTTTAAGTTGTATAAAAAAAAAGACCTCTACATGGTTTTTGGCACTACGATGAATCAAAAAATTTGATGGGTTGCCATTCTTGAGGACTCAGGTGTTATTCCTCTGTACCCAGTAAATTCACGCTATATCCCACCCTTCAAACTGAAACACAGCCATGCAAACATAACTGCTTCACGTTTGAAACACGAATGGGACAGAGGTACCCAAGCAATCGACTTTTGTACAAAGTCATCAAAGGTGATAGGTCGATATGATATAGGTTATATTGCTAGTAATCGGGCTATTAAACCCCATTACTCACTATCCTCTTCCTGAGTGTTATGTTTACCTCCGAAGCAACAGTCGACAAATCTATTAGCATTTCTGACAGTAGTTAGAGTAGAGAGATATTTGTTGACTATTAAAGTAATGGAGTCCCATTAGAGATTGTAGTCGTGAGCATATTTATTTATTAGCTCTTTTCCTTTCAGCATGGAATACAGAATACGTCGTAGACGGTGGCAATGGCTACTCCAGCCATCTCAAACCGCATATTATGACGTTGGATCACAGCCGATATCGGCGCGACGTGTCCACGCAACCCGCGGTCTCTTACGCCGCGCCGGCCGCTGCTCAGCCCACGGGGACACCAGTGCCCGGCAGCACTACTGTACAAGATCATCTCCCACCAACGGAGCTGTCAGGAGCGCCGCCAGCGATCATCGTGAACGATGACAGCAACAGAACGATCAATAACACTACAAGTAAGTCTAGATTTTTATTTTTTTTTTACAACACAGGGCAAACGAGCGTGCGACTCACCTGACGGTAAGTGACTACCGCCGCCCATGCTTACTCACAACACCAACGGCATTGCAGGTGTGCTGCCGGCCTTTTAAAAAGGAATACACTCTTTTCTTGAAGGTTATGTTGTCGTATTCGTTCGGAAATACTGCTGCTGGAAGTTGATTGCAGAGTGGTTGTGCGTAAAAGAAAGTGCCTTGAAAACACACGGTGGAGGACCGCCACTCGTCCAGATGATTGGGATGAAATTTTAATTTATGGCGAGTTAATGTTTCAAAGTTACTATTTTATTTCAATAGTTTTTGTGTAAATTGCAGCAATGGTTATCAACTGGCTAACCCGGCCGTTTTGGCCCCTACCCGCCACCTATCGGTACCATTTTTTTCTTATCAAGATATCCTAAATGTCATAAAAATCGATTGTGCTGTTTCGAAAAAGCGTGAACGAATATCGTAACATGGGATTCTTATATCTTACTAACTTTTTGATCGTTACTTCGTTAGTGTATATTTCAGAAATAAAAAAAAAAAATACCATTCGATTTCGTACTTTTGAAATGCACTGTCTTACTTCTGAAATATAATATCTAGAAGTAGATGGTGACTCACTTCTAGATGGTGTCTCAAAATAAAACAGACACCAGAATTTAATTTAGACCTTCAAGTGCAAAACTGTGAATAACGCATTGCAATTTCCATGACAGTCTAAAGATTGTTTTGACATATATTGGTCCTCGCCCTAATGGGCGACGGGCGTGTCAGATATATTATACGTATCTATTGGCCTTATTAAGATCTCTCATATCAATTTATCTTAAATATGTCTCATGTACAGCAATCGTTTAGTTACAGTTGTGTAATATAAGTAAAATTATATAAATCAAATTGATGCTGAAGTAATAGAGGCAAGGAGAATATCAACGCATGAGTAATACCATGGACGTTACGGCATATTCTATGGTGTAATGTTTATACTATAGTGTTGCCTGTAGGCGGCGGTCACCATTTCCTATCACCTGATGCCGTCTGAGGCCGTCAGCTTGTTCGCCATTTCAAATTGTATAAAAAATATTCTACACTTTGTGAACAGATTGTGGGCATTGATCAATAGGAAAAATCATGTCTTTTTCTTCTCTCACGACCATGCTGAGGGCAGAAAAAACGTGCAATCACGTTTTTTAATTATTAATTATTGTTACATACCTATTATCTACTATGAAATTGTAAAATGCCTATTGTGTCCGTGTCAACACGACTGCAAATAAATTATTATCATTCACACAGTAGTCTTTGTTTTTTTTTTATGCAACTCGTAATAATAAACGGGCTGACGGCCCACCTGATGGAAAGTGGTAGTCGTCGCCTATAGACAGACGTATAATATCTATGTATGTATCGATGTATGTATGCGTGTTTACAATTGAAATGCAGTTTTTTTTTTTTTTGGAACAAAAGAAAGTTTGTTTTGAACCTCAGTCTATATGTAAACACACGATTCCATGTTCTAAATTTAAATTTATATGGTGTCTACATAACATCTTTGTGAACACACACACACCGACACATGTTTGTATGTGTGTGTTCACAATTGAAATCACTTTTTTGCGCAGCAATTTTGATATTTCACTTTGATTAAAAAAAATGCATCATGAAAGGGCATCAGTCATATTTGAAATGGCCTTCGAATTTAGTCTGTAATAATACATATTATAAAGAGAAAAGATTTGATTGTCTGTGATCAACCAAATACTACTTAACCGATTTGAAAAATTGTTTCTCCTACTTTATCAACATGTAGTAGCATAGATTGCATATTATTTTCGAAAATTCTATCTTGACCAGATCACTAGTATTACAATAATAAAGTAAAACGTGTAAAAAAAACAGAGAATAATACCCAGAATAATACCTAGGGTCTAGACCCGGGCAGATTTAGAAAAGCTTGATTCCTAAATTGGCTCCATCAAAGATCGAATACGGGATACGTTGACGCAAACCGTCGCACCATACGCACATAGCGTGGAATAATGAAAAAAATACTTCGAATTAGTAAGCAGTTTGATGAAAGTGTTAAAAGTATAATACAATTATCAATCATGTATATATCAATACATATAATAAAATCGTAACTGGTCGCTGTCTGTAAATGGAAGATATATATGAAAAACTATTATAGAGGGGCTTTATGAACGCAATAGAACCCAAAACAATTATTTAGAGAATTCTTCTCTCATTGTCTGTACGTTTGTGCGCGATAATCTCAGAAACGGCTTAACCCATTTGCACGCGGTTTTCACTAATGCGTTGCGCTTTACTCCACTTAATATTTTGTATTTGTTTTATTTCCATCGGTTCATAAATAAAAAAATTATATCGGTGTAAAGAACCACATATAAAATGCTATAAAATAACCCATCAGTTGAATTGGCTGAAACTTTATAATGGTATTACGTATGTAATTATCATTTAAGTGTATAATACAATATAAGACCGGATTCATGAAGAGTTCCAATAAGAATAGTATACGGGAACCTATATAGTTAGAAGGGAGCAACGCCTCGGGAAACGGCTAGTTGAATAATATACCAAGAATTATAACCATGATTTAGTACCTAAATATAATTATTCTTGGTAGTGTAGAAAAAAATGTTACTTAGCTTGTGAAACACATGTTTCGTATCTCAGTTACATGTTTGTGTGATCAGTAAGTACTTACGTACTAAAAATACGTACGCCGCATCAACGACGACGGTGCCATCTAATTGTTTTGATGTGAACTAATATTATTTTTTATTCTCAACGATTTCGATATCACCTTGCCATGATATCACGCAATGAAATAGCCGAGTACAAAACACATAACATCTTTTGTTGAGCACGGCAGCTATCCGATTGCACAAGTGTATCTTGTTTACCTGGATACGTCATACAGTTACATTGTAATTTCATATTGTAACATATACGTTATATACAATATATTAATAATAAAAGTATACTACGACGCCAACATAAAATTAAACGTTTTAGTTTTGGTGTGATAAGCAGATAGGATTTTAGTAACAAGATTAGAAAGGAAGAATTAGTTTTATTCAAGTATAAATATTTATAATTAGGTTCAAGCATTATTGAATAGTAATTTTTTTTCATCACCGCCCATTCGAAACGCAATTTCAGCCAAGAACGGCCAAGAAATTTGGCTGTTGCTTTTTTTTTTATTGTTAGGTATTATATAAATAATGAATTTGTGTAAATACAAAACTATTAAGCCGGGGGGAAGGGATTGTTAGTAATGGAGACTGAGAATCCCATTGCTAGCATTATACCCAACCAGGTCGACCACCTCGCGGTTCCCCCTGGAAACTATCATGGTTAATTCCTGATCAATTTATCATGATGGGCTAACTGGCCTATTTTCATTCTCATCTATCACCCTTCACTGGTGCTCTGCCAGAGTATCCCGTTATCGCAGGCTGGGTTACCATACCATTTTCACCCATCAAAAAAAAAAAACTATTAAGCCATCATAAAGTAGAACAATTGTTAGCAATAGTTAGTTAGGTCGACCTCCAGCCTCAATGTGAAAATTCTTGGCTAATTCCGTTACCTTGCGCTACAATGGCCCATCTAGCCTGACTTCATCTTCAACTATCATCCCCTACTTAGCACCCCGTCAACGTAAACCTTTAATTTTCATTCATTAAAACTGTTTCTTTGTTAACTCAGATATATCTAATTTTCTAGCTTTTCTCGACTCTTTAGATATTTTTTAGTACTTTTCATGAAAACTAGTATCAAAATATGTGAGATATATAATAGATTCAAACATATCTGGGTTAATAAACATTATTTATTTACTAATATGGCTTCCCACGTCTGAATAATAAATACAAAGAAATATTTGTATAGAATGAAAGACATACGCACACGCACGTGTACGCAAAGAAAGGTTTTGTCCTTGGAGGTGGGGGGGAGGCACATTACTGACAACCCCCCCCGGGTTGTCAGTAATGTGGACTAGCAGTCCCATTGCTACTAGCAATATACCCTATTAGGTCGACCTCCACGTGGAAACCATCGTGCTGAATTCCTGGTGTATTTTTTGCCCTTTCATTCTCACCTACCATTCCAATGTGTTTTATTAAATTAATTTGAATTAAAAAAAGTTTTGTCCTGCGTAAACAAAATGTTTTTCGTCTGTGCAGACCTTGAGGATATCTATATTTTTTCTCGATCTGAATACAGAATTTTGTGCTTTAATGTACCATGTCTTTTATCAAAAGTCCTGACCTTTTGTTCTTCAAAATTAATGTTTCATAATTTTTAAGTTTAAAACTCATACAACTTTGACGGTATAAAACTAAAGTAAAAATCTTTTTACGTTTCTTTGTTAGACAGTGACGCAGGAGCGTGACGGGGAGAAAACCGTGATTTAAAAGTACCTAAGCTATAAATTTAGATGTTCTATTATTTAATGTTGTTTGTACTTCGAAATAAATGTATTATTTTTAAATAATCCACAAGAAATAATATCAGCGCCTCTGACGAGAAACCAAATAAGACTTCACTACGGGAATCCCGAATTGAATCATACCGATAGGTACATAATATTTATTTCTTTAACCTTTAAGCCCTGCGCACACACAGTACAATTATCGTACTTTGCCCGTTATAATAAAACACATGAAATGCATGCACACACGACAAAATGTCCCTCATCTGCGCAGATCTGCAGAGAGAACGCGATAATTTTAGCACCTCGGATGCGTCACCCATTGCTATTTCAGTGGACCACAAAATACATTCGATAATTTGTCTCTCGTCTGTGCAGACTTTTAAAAAGGCAACCATCTAGAATTTAGTGTTGTTTTATTTATTTATTTTTTAATTAAAGAAAATAGAATCTTTACACGGTCTGCGATCAGTTTGCGATGCCAGAGTTATAAATATAGGTAATATTGAAA